CCACCAATAAAAGTGCGACACACCCTCCTTCTGCATCTGACTCTCTATACTCTAGAGCACAGTCGTCACTTCTTGATTTGGCACTCGTGTGTAACAGTGCATCTTTTTTTTTCACTTGTGAACTTTTCAGAGATAGGCATTTTTTAACTGGAAGTATCTACAAAGACATTGCCTTTGTGGAAGTATTTATTGTTGGATTTTTACTTTCCAACATTTTTCTGCATCTGCAGATTTTGTGGGCTCTTCTTTTCACATTATTTCATTAGTATCAGTAACTTCTACTTTCTCTTGTGGGAGACGACAATATGATGTTCATGCTAGTATCACACCTACATCGGTGTCGGGTTTCTCTTTGTCTGTTGAGAGAAGCAGTGGTTTTTGTGTGGCAGGTGGTGGAGTAGTTATTGCAACCTGTGCCTTCTTTTGTGTCTGACATATCTCCACCTATGTTTCTCATTCATGGTGGAAAGGATTTTGTTGGTTTTTCACTCTACTCACCTTTGCCTAATTTTATACCCATGCTGTCTTGAACTAACCTAAGCCTTTTTCATAATTTTGGGACTTGGTTTCTCAGGTATATTTCACTCCATCTCTTTGTAATTCATTCCCTAATTTTTATGCTTTACTTGCTTTATGTCCAGTTATGCTAGTCTATATTCCATTACTTTTACCACTACTTTAGTGCATGTGTACCTTGACCTTCTTCCTTTGTTACGTCATATGACTAGATCTAATTTCATACTGTATGGAATTTCTTTGACTACTAAACTCTGCAGTCTTTTCTTCAGATTTTGGAGTTGGATCCTTTGTCTTATGTTCATCTTTTCTTGGGCTTAAGTTTTTCCACCTTCGTTTCACTCTCTTTACCCTTTTCCATTACTTTTTCAACATTCACCTTCTTTCTATGGTAATCCACTATTCCCTTGAGGGGTTTTCAGCAGATGCTCATTCACTTATCTTCTCTACAGTGACATGTTTATCTTCCTTATCCCATTATTTTTGGTTGATCTGTTGCTAGAGTTTATTGTGATTCCCTTGTTACTCAGGTCTGTTTTTCTCTCAGATACCTTCATCTGGATCCTTTCATCTGCCTGTATGATTTTACTGGAGTGCTTGTTTCTCTGAATTCATATCTTGGGGTTGCATGCCAATGTTTTTTCTTATCCTCACTGGTTCACCATCTTTTGCCTCTCTCTGTCTCCTTTCCTCCTGCTTTCTCTTCTCTCCCTCTCATCACTTCCCATCCATCCTCCTGCTACTCATAGTCTTCAGTGCTGTCAATCTTCGAAGTGACTATTCTATAGGCTCATGGTTAGTGAATCCTGTTTACTTAGGTTTATGGACCTTTGCTCTTTAGTTGCAGCCAATTTTGGAGCACTGGGACTTCTGTCAGTGAAGCTTACCCTTTGTTTGTTTCTTCTCTTCCTCTGTTGTCTCCTTTTCCTGTTACTTCCCCACCTTCAAGGATCTCATTTCTTGCCAACATCTTTGGAAGTGTTGGACTGAATGGGTATAGACTCTAGGATTTATTCCCCTTTTTTGTGGTTCCTAAGGAATCCCTAGCTTGGCATCCAGTCTTAGTCATTTTATGTCTTAGTTGGTTTCTAGATCTCCCTTGATTTATTATGGAGATTATTTTCACCCTGTGGTGGTTTTTTGTCTCAGATCTTGATATGACTGAGGTGAACTTCTCAGATGCTTCTTTTCTCATTTTTCTCTGTCCCAATAAGCCTCCTACATCCATCCTCTTCTTCTCCTTTGAGAGGTGGTGTTTTTGAGTTTGTTTGGTCAAACTGGAGAAGTTGTATCTCACACCCGTTTAGTTTATAATTTATTTGGGTGCTTTTCAGCTTGCATCTCCACAGGGTCCAGCCTTCTACTCTTCATTTGAGGGATGGGGAGCAATTAGTTTCTGATGCTCTATTCTCTCCTTCTCTCTCTTTTGGGGACTTGTGCTTCCATGGAATTCCATATACCCTTGGGTCATGCTTATTTGGGATGTCTACAATGGATTCTAAATGATCACTGGATTTTCAATTGGGACCTCTTGTATTCCACTATTTGTGTTCTTCCTTCCTTAATCAAAGACTTCAGTTGGTGACCTGATACACCCAATACCATAGAGGGTGTTCCTCTTCCTTCCTCTTGTGATTTTGAATCAAAGGTTTCACAATGATTCATTCCTTCGTATCACTCTTTCTCAGAGCTTTTGGTGGTATGTTGGACTTTGAATCATTTTCTTATAATGGTTTGTGAACATTTAGTAAGGATGTCTTTTCAAGCCCAACAAGATAGTACGTATGAAGTGGTCCCTCAATTCTCTGGTGTTTCAGTAGCTGTGCTATCATCTGGGCACCCCTCCTTCTAGATGTTTTTGCCACTCAGCTCAACATCATAATTCCTCTTTTCTAGCCTCCAGTTTTTCATCCCTCAGCTCTTGATGTGGATGCATTCAGTCAGCACTGGTCCAGCCTTTCACTCTATGCCTATCTTCATATTCATCTTCTCCTTCACGTGCTTTTCCTCATTCCAGTCACTCCATGTCGAGTCTTCCTGCTTGCTCTAAACTAGCCATATTGGCCATGTTTTCTCTATTGAACCTTCTCCTCATCTTCTGACACCCTCCTTACTCCTTCTCACTTACTCACTTCTCTCTCACTCCCATCTGGCAATGTTATCACTCTGTCTTCATGTGTGAGTTTTGTCTGGTTCCTTGTGAGATGTCCCCCTCCTTCCATGAAAATGGTGCACATTTCATAATTGGTTTTTGCATCATGCTTTCTCCACATTCCGTCCTTCTATCCTCTACCTTGCTGAATTTTTATATGGCGTATTGCTTTCAACCATTCCTAGCTACAGGGCAGCTCTACCTAATACTTTTGGGTTTTCACATTATAGTCATGCATTCTCCTTTCCTGTCTTTTCTCTGCTCTTTTATTGTTTTTTCCACCTTCATTCTCCTCATCAGGCAGTCCTTCCTGACTAGGGCCTGAATGTTGTTCTTCATGCCCTTGACATTCCTCTCATTGCATTTTTAATCCCTTGTTCCTTTTACCATTTTACCAGTTCTATTTGTTCCTTTTTACCTGTTGCTTTAGAAGATCTGACATGAATGCCATTGATGCTTCCCATATTCTTTTCCATTGTTATTATATTCTTCATTATCCTGCTTATGCTATTCTCCCTAAAACTACTGTGCCTCCAGACGGGGAAAATTTGTTCACTCCTATTTCTCTCCCTTCCATTTCTCATTGATATTACGTGTGACTCATTGTTATTTGGTCTGCACGGCACCTGTCATGCTACCTTCTATATATTCTATAGAATTCCTTATCTTCTTGAGAAAATTCTCCCATTATCATTATAGGATGGCTACAGCTGCTCATCCATTCAGCCAAAGCTTTATTGGATGTAGATGCACATCGACTATTTCAGGCCTCCTCTCACTAAATCTGATACCTTATTCTCTCTGGTTGCTCACTTTCATCATCCGTTGGTGGAAATCGTGCATGCTGTTTTATGGACTGCCCTTTATACTTTCATTGCACATTATCTTCATCCTCTGACCTTCTCTTCTTCTTTAGGATATCAACTTCCTCCTGTTGCCATACTAAATAACTTACTGGCTCTGACTAGGTAAGTTATTTTTTTCTTATCTCTTACTTTTACAGTGGCTCATTTATATATCTCAGGATTCTGCTGAGTGGCCAGTGGTGCCTTCCAGTTATACTTAACTTTAAATCTGCACCAAATAACCTTTCAGGTCTGTATTACTCACTGATGAAATGGGGTGTTCCACAAGACTGTTCAAGGGTTTCTGATGGTATATTGCTCCATGAATAAGGTTCATTCCAGACCATACCAACTCATGAACTATCATCTAATTAAATTTTGCACTGGTCCCTCCACTGTTTCAATCTGGGATTCTAGCTGTTATTTGAGAGAAAGGTAAGGCATTGTGTTGGAAGTTTATATTTTCCAACACTGAAAATATATTTCCGATACATTCTGACTTCTGCTCACACTTCACACTTCTGGTTAATCTTTACTTGTCTAATCTTGAAGTGGTGATTGTGCTCTGGAGTATAGAGGGAGTCATTTGTGCTAGGAGGGTGTGTCACACTCCTTTTGTTGGAGGGTTGTTGCATATTCATTTGCCTGCTACAATGCAGCTATACCACATATAAATGCATGATGTTAGGTGGTAACCTCAAGGCTAGCAGCAAGCAAAAATTGAGCATATAGAAGAAGCACAAATCAAGGAAAGCTGTTGTGATCAGAGGCAAGTATCTATCTGAAAGACATTTTTTAATGTTGGAAAATCTTAACTTCTCACCCACTCCAAAGAAACCTTTACCCCTAACTCTATACATTTCCAGCCTTTGTTCATTGATTTCTGCTATTTCCCCCTCTCTAGTAATACATTATTCCACTAACTATCTCTAACTTATCCTTAGCTAAGTAAGCCATGCAAAGGTACTATACTCTATGTTTGTGAGCTTGCTAAAAGTTGGAATCAGGCCTCACATTTTTCAGTTTAAATTCCATCCCACTTATCCCTTAACTACTTTTAACTGTATTGAAGTTATACTAGTGTTTATTCATTATTACCAATCTACACACACCCAGTAATTGTATAATTTACTGAAATTGACCTATTTCACAATTTATAGATCAAATTATAGATAAACCTAATAATAAAATCCTCTATTATACAATACTTGTACTATCATTATTAGTACTACTACTTCCTTTCTAGTTACATGTAACCAATTGCTAGTGTAAAGAATATTGTCAGTAGCTACTAAATAGTAAGAGAAATAATTTCAATTCTTAAGATAGATATATTATCCTTACTTTAATAACACTTGTGATAACCCATTACATCCTCAAAGACAGGTATGTGTTACACATCATTACATTGTGTTATTATCCTTTACAATATATCCTTATTTATTGCTGTACTACACATAATTGATGAAAAATTTATCTAATTTCAGATTGTTATCATTCTTCTTCTTTCTCATGTTGGCTGGAATGGTCCCTCTACAACCATCATATCTTGTCCAAGAGATAAATCTAGAGTAGTCAAGAATATTATCCAAAAGGTTGGTGGTGCTAAATAATGAAAAGTAACTGACATATAGTTTTTGTCTAATGGATTCCAAAATTCTATCTACACATCTATGTACTGTATTTACCTACCTATGTACAGTTGCTTGAATTGTAATGGTTATAGCATTGACCAAGATATTTTTTCAAAGATACTCTTTGCATTATTTGTCATCAGAAGCCAAAAAAATTACCTGGAGTGGTAAGATTTATAAGATTAGCCCTCTTATGTTTAGGAAATGTTCAGTTTTGAAACCCCGTCAAAAATAGTGTGTATCCCCAAAAGAAAAAACAATAAAGTGAAAGTATATGTTATTAGTGTCATATTTATCAATGCCACTGTGGTGTTCAGGTATAGTGATAAGTTACAGATAAGTTCCAAGTATCCTTAACACATGACAGTTTATAGAAAAAGTCAAGCAGAGTATAAATTGAACATTGACAACCAAGGAAGAGAAGTAAATACAAAAACACAAATAGATAAAAATCTTACTCATTTGACAACCAAACATATTGCTGGGGCTATAGCTAGACTAACTATATCTTCTATGCTGTGCATTATAGACTGTAGCATGCTGTTTAAACAGGTATAAAGTATGCTGCAGAAAAAGCATGATATATCACACTGTTAAGCTAGAATGAAATTTCCTTGTGCATTATCCCATAATCCTAGGTTACTGATTTCAATGAGCATTCTTATTATACTTTCAAGGAAGATAAATTCTGAACTAATGTTAACTAGCATGTGTTTCTGTACATGTAATATAGATCTGTGATTTTTTATCATATTATAGAACATTTTTCAATGTCCTATTCTATGTTTTGATCTGGATTCCACCCTGTGGTGAGTGGTGCCTGGCCAGGTATACTTTACTTACTTAGTTTGATACTCAAATCCACTCTGAAAAGCCATGTTGATTTTTTTTTTTTTTCTTATGGCCATTAAATGCACACTGTTCTATAATATACTAGAGATGGTGTGTTCTGCAAGATTGCTTGTAGGTTATTCCTTGAGATATATTTGCTTCTTAAATATGTCCATTCCAGACAGTACTCACCCGCGGATTTCATAGGTAAAGCAGAAGGGGATAGCTGCCCATCCTTGTCATTCATTAGATCAAATAAATCAGATTTGTTCTGCTTTTCAATATATGGTTTCGTGATCACCCATCGCACTGTTTCCGGTGTTATCATTCCTCCGGACTCTCCGCCACCTTTTCTTCCAGTGAAGTATGGGAGTCCTTACCACTTTCCAGTTCCAAGTAGCTGGGGTGGTGGACTATGGAGGTCTCCTCCTGAATGTGACATATAAAATTAAAAAAAAAACACATCCCTTCAGTTAATAGGAGAGCAGTGGTGTTCTGTTGGTGTAGATATGAATGGAATCCCTCATCTTACTCCCACATGGAAGTCGGTTCACAGTGGTTGAGTTTTGGATTTAGGACTGAACCAATCAACATATGTCCTCACTCATGTGTTCAGGGTGTCCCTTCTCACTGAGTTCATCTCGGGTGCACTTCCTGGTGTTGTGGATCACGATGGGTGCATTTGGTTGTTGCTCCACTTCCTCCTCTTGTGCACCCCTTAGTGTCTTTATGCTGAGTATGGTGCTATGTTTGAGGTGGTTCCAGTATGTTTGATTTGGCTCCTACAGTCTTTCATGTAAAATGACATATGACTCTTCATTCTTTGTTGTATTTTTCTAGTAACAGTAACCTTTCTCCTGACATGTGCTAGTTGGTTGAAGCAACTTATAAGGTGTGCATTAACTTAAATAGTGATCAATTTCTATGGAGAATTTTGCATCAAACCCTATGAGATTTGACATTTAAATATTCCTCTAATTGTGGCAGGAAAATGCCCTTTTGTAACATTTAATTGAAGATATAGGCATATAAGATGTCAAGAAAGGAAGGCCTTGATTTTGTTAGATCCTTAATCTACTGAACATGGCATGGGATGATGTGTGTTGTATATCACTGTTTCAAATACAACTGACCTCTTCGTAGATGTTCCCTTTATGATAACTGATTTGTAGCCTTTAAGGTTTTTTAAACAACATTTTCAGTAATTGTATTAGGATGGCCAACATATATTCAATATTCATTCGTATATCTATTCAAAAAGAATATTACTCTGCTTACTTTTGATCCCCTCTTTTTAATGTTAGTATTCCAGGTTTCTGTAAATATGTGTACATATTTAAGTTACTGTCTTTGAATTTAACATTTTAGAACTAAAATCAGTTTTAAATCTGTTCTTACCCCTGTTTGTATGCTTCCTCCTCTATTGGAATAAATTCTTGGGTGTTGCAATCATAAATGTAGTGGTACTGTTCTGGGCATGTAGGACACATATAAGGGATTACCTTGATTCAGTTAAGTACTATAGTGACTTCTCATGTAATGTCTAGAAATTGTTAGGGAATAGTTTTAGTTTGACAGCTAAAGCTGGAGATAAGTTTTAAATATACCTAATTCTAATATGGTCTTAACTTCTTTCACACAAAGCTGTCTCAAACCTCTTTCTGCCTCTTAAGCTTTGCTAAAAGATTTTAAGGCTCAGCACACCAGTCTATATACCTCACACATTTCTTGCTACTTTTGAACATGTATATAGCATGTGATTACCTTCCACCAATAATATAGTGCCACCTATATTGGTGCCGCTAGCTCCCTCTGATGTTTCTGGTCAATCCTCACTTTTTCAATTGGCACAATGTTCTTTAGATGTGTGTTTTTTTCACATGTAATTACCATTTATGGTTGTACTTCATTGACATTTCAGTACCTTTTTCAACAGTTTTCATTTACTCTGTTTGCCTTCAATTGTTTATTGTTACTGAATTACATGGTAACTTAGAATGACTTTGTGATTCAATGTATCGACAACAGAAGTCCCCATTACAGTAGAAAACGCTTCTCATATGACTACCCAGGCATCAGGTTTGACTTTATCTGCTGAGGAGGTACAGGCATTATTTCACAGGGAGCTAGATTCCTATGTTTGGCTGATGATTTATTCTTATTTTTTAGCCTTACAGTGTTTCTGAGGATGAATACAATCAAGGAGAAGAAAATTGGATTCACTTTTTTGTCACCTTCTTATTTCGGTCTGTCACACTCTACACCTTATTTTTTATAGCTGGTTAACCAGATATGTTGTATATTATATTTTTCCTTTTCCTCCTAGCTTGCAAACAGATATTTATGCTATTGATGGTACCAGAATCCTCTACCATTCCTCTTATGTCATCATATATCCAGATTAGTCCTTCCTTCCTAAGACCTCTGTTGCCCAGGAAGTCATATTTTGGCTTTCACACTCATTTCTTTACCTTACATCCCCCACCTGTACTCTCATTCTGATCCCATTTGGCTTCCTTGTCTGGTTCACTTCCTACAGTGTTATGTGGCATATACTGCCTCCTTTTGAGGTTCATGTTCCCAGCCTTTTATTCCATGGAACCTTTCTGTTTCCAATGTTCTATCCCCTGTCACACTTACTGGTTGGGTTTGTCATCTTCTTAGCTGGCATTTCAGATGTATCCATGGTAGGTTGCTGTCTTCTCAATGTTTCTTCTCATCAAATTTTTCATATCACCATGTCTTTGGCTGCTCGTCTTTGCTATTTGTTGGAAGAAATCATTCAGGCCAGAATGTGGAATACTCCCTATTCAATTATTGCTTATTAACTGCACTATCTGGCTGTATCTTTTTCAGGTGGATATCGTCTCCCTCCTATAGCAATTTTACACTCGTCTGTTTGCCTTTGACTTGGGTATGTCTTTTCACAATATTTCATTTATGTTTTATTTTCAGGGTTTTTTTTTTTTT